TTGGATTGTTTGCTTCGGCCACACCTCCCCCGTGCACCAGCGCACTTTGGACATGCCTCCCTGTTTTCATCCCCGTATTCCTGCATGGCTTTTTCCTAGTGTTTCCTCATGATTTTGGATTGTGTCGTTCGCATAGGGTCCGGAAAGAACTGTTCGTTACAGAATTATATTTGATGTAGAAACCTTTGGGCATGGCAGAGTGGTTAGCTTTGCTGCCTTGTAATGAACTAGATATCTACAGCTGGACTTCAAAGTGCACAAATGCAAGCAAACACAAGAGTACAGGTAGAAAGTGTTTCTCTGGAATTTTTTGGAACAGTTTTTATGACTTCTCAATCTCTGCATATGTATGTAGGACATAAGAACTTTCTCAACCAATTTCCATATTTTTGTTGTGTAAGTGATGCCCTTAAAACTAAGATTAATTAGATCTCAGTTCCCAAAGCAGCTTGTATTGCTGGATAATAATCATCCACTGTGATGTACATATCCAGAGTCCCTGTGGATATTTATGCTTATTACATGGGGAAAAAACTGTTTACACTTTTTTTTCATTTTGTAACACAAGAAACTGGAAAGGTTGGCATGTCTGTCTGTGTGGAGTTTGTACGTTCTCCCTGCATTCACATTGGTTTTCTCCAGGTGCTCTGGTTTCCTCCCAGCATCCAAAAACATACTGTAGGCTAATTGTCTTCTGGGAAAACTGGTCTTGGTGTGAGTGTGCGTGTCTGCGCCTATGTCTGTGTGTTCACTGAGATGCACCTGCTTCCCTTCCAGGGTGTATCCCACCTTGTATCCATTGCTTGCCAGGGTTCTGGCTTCTCCACAACCTTGAATTGAATGAAGAGGTTAGTAAATGGATGGGTGGGTAGAAAATGATGTTAGTAAAGATATATTGGGTGAAACAAATAATACTGAGTAGAAAAGATGTAGTTATGATAAAGAATCGGGATCTTTATTTTCAATATGAGACTTAACACAACTTCAGTGTGCTCCAAATCTGTGTAATCATACCTGGAAACAATACACTTCTAATTAAAGTAGGATTTTTGTTGTGTGACAGCATAGTTTAAAACCACCTAAGGAATGACTGAAAACAACTGTCCACAGTACCTATATTTCAGCCTGCTGCAATTTCTGTCACGCATTTCTTTTTATCCCATATTACTGTACCTGGCAGCTATCAGCAATAAATATATGTGTAGGGACATATTTAAAAAGCCAGTGTTTTAAACAGATTCAATATATTGATATACATACAGTATGCAGAGACTGAAATGTTAGTTACAAGAAACTCAGGCTCTACATGGCCCTTAGCTGTAAATGATTCTATTAAGTGGTGTCTCCCAGATCTGAAATATGCTCAATACTGTTCTCCTTGATATCCTGTACAGCTCATCCTTTCTCCTCTCTACCTCTGCAGCAGAAACCCCCCTCATTTCGCACAGACAGCAGCATACAAACACTTTGCAGCCCCCTTGCCTGCTCTTAAAGATTATTCTTTAATTTTATCACATGCTAAGGCACACAGTAAATTACCCATTGCTTGGTAGATATTATTTCAACATTAAACAGGTCATAGCGGTTATTGGTAAATTTACTTTATACTGTACATATGCAAATATTTTTTATATGCTACTGTATGTACCATGTGTCTCTGAATATCATACGTGACCTCTAATGCTAATGAATACATTGATAATATAATTGTGATATGGTTATTTTTACCACAAGACATTTATTGAATGGTGCCCTTAAAATTGCAGTTACATCACCAGCAACGGGAGTCAACATTAAGTAGTGTTTCAGGGTTGATACTGTATCTGTCTCCCAAGTTCCAAGCACCCAAGTCCTCTAATGACTGGCCAGGTGTACAGTATACTACACCCAAGAACATCCTGGCTACATCTAGTTAGAGGAAAGGTCCGGAATGAAAATACCAACCCCTGGTCTTAGGTCTTAACTGGTGCAGCCCGGCTATTTACTTACTGTAGCTATATGTAAAACAAAACAGTTGAACAATTGAAATGGAAAAGCAAAAATTTGCTCTGGGTTTATCCCTTTACTGACATACTGATCCAAGTAATTCCTTAAATGATTTATTAAACCATCATAAAGATTTGTCAATTTCAGGACGTTCGTCGTTCGTCATTATTGATCATTTCTTCCCACTTGTGGTCCATGCCATACTGAATATAGGTTCCTCCAATTTCTAGACGTGTTTGATGCTCTTTCTCTCTCTACTAGTTTAAAGAAGTGCACCCCTTAGACCTTAGACCCCTTTAGACTATAATAACATCATTTAAAAATAGTTCAGGTGGGTAGCTGCGCCAGCATGCGTAGGCTGCAAAGGAACAAGTAATAGGTTTATTCCATGCTGAAAAAAAGAAGAAAGAGAACACAACGTTTCGGCCGTGGAGCCTTCTTCAGGTGTGAGAGAGACAGGGCAGTAGGCAAAGGTAAAGTAGCGGGAGAACAAAGGTTGGGAGGGAGGAGGAGTGAGAGGCGGGAGCAGGGGACAGAAAGAAAGGCCAATCAAGAGGTCACCTCTTTTTTTCAGCATGGAATAAACCTATTACTTGATCATTTAAAAATATCTGAGACTTTCTTAGCTAATGAGTGAAAAATCTACAGATGGAAATCTATCTCTCTGAATTTGGGAGGATTTGATTAAAGTAGAAAACATTGGAATCTGCATGTGGTTCTAGTTAATCATTTTTGTTGCAGAATTTTGTCCATTTAAGTTCGAATATTTGTTCTTTGTGATCTTAATTGATGGGGTTGCAGAACTGCTGTGGTAATTTTTCTATACTTATTTTTTATGTTTTTGATTTTTTGATATAACATATCCCTTATTACTATTATATTATTAGTAGTAGTACTATTCAATGTTATCTTACATTATGAATGTTACTTTTATTTTAATGTACTGTACATGTATCTATCAAAATAGTGACCAAGCAGATTTGTATGGAACGTATAGCACAGTTCTGTGACATGGGGCATTGGCCTGCTTTGAGAGAGTCATCACATGATATGACAGACGAGCAACTGACCTCTATAAAAAAATCAATGTTACGTTGCCCTGGGCTCTGATTAAATGGGAATGGATGTAAACACTCACTCTGTTTAACTCATTGCATTCTACTACTATTGCTTTTCAGTTTTTAAAACCAAGGCATTTTGTGATACTTCTATTATAACATTTTTAGCTTTATCTAGACCAAAAACATAGTATTAAGCTCTAAAAAAGTGTATTTCACTATGCAGAACAAACATTACATTTTATTCTTGGTTGCATTATTAACAAGAACTCACCAGCTTATTTGTCTTCCATCCCTTCTGTGTAAAGACAGAATGATGAATTTCCTGGGTGAGCCACAAATACATAAGAAAGTGTTCTCCATAGATCTTAAATTTTATTTCTAAATACAAATGCTTCAAGATACAAACTATTTTGAGAGCATACATATTTTTAAAGCCTATATGTCTTTCCTGTAAAATGCAAATGACAAGCACAGAATTACTAATGTTAGATGTTATAAATTAAACTCAAGATTTTAATTTTACATTTAATATCTAAATACATTTCTGAGAGATCTGACCCTGACTGCCTTCTTGTGGTGTTTATCTGTAATTCTTTTAACATATTTTGTAAAATCTTTTACTTAAGACAGTTACTGTAGGCATTTGTTATTTAACAGTATTTAACAGTAACTATTACTTTTTTATTGTCTCTGTACATTTACGTTATAATAAGTAAAGAAACATGTCATATTTGGGAAAACAATCAGATACTTTTATATTCCCAAAACACTTGTGTTAAATGAAAATTAGAATTTTGAAAATGTTTTTAGTAAACAACCAGAAATATGAATGAATACATGTTTTTTTAACCTATTTATATTATTTTTGAACAGATAGACTGCTCTTTTGAAAATATTACTGTTCATTTAGTGTACAATAAAACAGGATTTTCTATAAATGCATCATTTCGACTGCACAAATGTCAGTTTATCAATCAATCTATTCTTGATAAAAAGAGCTTTGTATATCAAACTACATGTATAGATTTATTTCTGTATCTCTTATTTTGGTCTGGATTTTCTGGAAATTCTGCTCTAAATTTTATTGAACCACTGGAACATGGAAAGCACTTTCATATTTCTAAAGCTGCAAATTTTTAGTATTAAAATGAATGACAGCCAATCTCTGTTAGTTATTACTAGGTGTATGACTCTTTTACTTTGTTTCAATTGCAAAATAATCGTTGTAAATGTGCTTGCTGCAGAGGAGCACTTATATTTTTAAATAAAAGTTAACATGTCTCAACCTTGGTTAGCAACAAAATAGCATGTGATACACAATATTCTTGTATTCAGCCAAGCTTCTCCAGAGCCACCTTTATTAAGCCAATGGAAACTATTATGCTTAGTATGTTTTAAATTAATGCACTTATTGTTTTGCTTAAATGGTTAATTCTTTGCTTTCTGTGTTTATGGTGTTTTCTTTTTTTGTTAACACTGAATTAATAGACAGTTTGAGTGCGTGGATGGTCAGTTTGTGAAACTTTGGAGTCAGATTTCCACAGAAAATGTTTTTCACCTTGACGAAAGGTACGAGTGGAACCATAGTGTAGGTCAGATACTCTCATCAATGTCAGCTGTACAGTAATGATTCAGAAATGCTGGTGTTGTGCGATATTACTATTTAGCCTAGGGGCTGTAGATTAGTTTTAAAAGGTTCCAGAGGACTGGGCAGTGAGTCTTAATCTCATTTTTTTTTTATCTCTAGGCCTGCTCCAAGCCTCACACTCACAGAAGTCAATTGATTTGTTCATCTAAAGTTTCTTGAAATGTTTTTCTTTAAAAAATAGGTGAAAAGAGTAGTAACATCGTCTACCTTTGTCTCCTTACTAGATGATGTAACATGAAATGCTAAGTAAGCTGTAAATGTTAACATGTTAATAATAATTTGTTTGGCCTTCTTTCCTTCCACAGTTCCGTTACAAGAGAAGAGTTTATACTCAGAGCCACCTGGATGACAAGCAGCTGGCCAAGCTTCATACAAAGGTAGGAAATGGGGTTTTCAGAATATTTTTTGTTTTGTGTAGATATATATATATTTAACTTTCAAATTAAATTTCAATTGGTTTACTTTATTCCCACCTCTTCCTCTATCTCATTCTATAATATTATAGCATAATACTGTAGATAGAAGTTGATATAATTTTCACATAATGCCTCTTAAGTATTATATATTGTACCAGGTTCAAAATATTTTTGACAGGTGCCTTTAACCAGTTCTTAAGATGGTGAAGGAAGAGTTTATTTAAAGACCCAAACATAACTGTGTGCAGACCACAGATCTTTAATGCTCTTAACCTTTTACAGGGAGGACCCATACAAACTCTCCTCTGCTTGTTACTTAGAGTTTCCCTGGCATTCTCAGAGAAACATCCAGTTCTGCTACTAATCTCCCTCCTGAACAGATAGCAACTTCCAGCTCTGTGGTCAGTTGTTCCAGCCCCAAGGTGTCAACCTGCCAAATATCTACTGTAGTATTCCTCACCTATTGTAATTTAACACCTACAGTACATTAAGTTATAGATACCATAGAGTAGTACTACATACATGTTCTTTATACTACTCACAATTGAAGTATATTGAACAGTTTCACAAAGTGTTTTCACAAATGTGTAGTTATTGTCATTTCTTTTTTAAATGTGATTATGTAGCTTTTTCTTCCACTGACCCATGAGAGACAGCAATTGTAGCTTTCTTAATTGTCATTCAACCACTAAGGAAACACACAAACCCATAATTGTAAATGTCCGGAATGTCAGTAAATTTTCAGGGGTCAGGAAAGATGGGGAAGGTTTTTTTTTTTTTTTTACTTCTTGTTGATGAACTGTAAACATTTATGGATGGTAGAGAGGTGAATTGTAATCCATGAACAGGAAATGCAATACTGTACATGGTGTGGATTAGCTGCACAATCATTGGGTTTATGATTATGCAGCCAGTGCTGGTCTATAACATTGCCTTTGACCACAACAAGTTCTGTTCTTTGCTCACTGGATATGCCTGCTCAGAACATCACACACTCCAAATGGTTGCCCAACAATCACTGTCATCAGCAAAATGTTCACCCCAGCATCTCCAAATGCATTGTTACCCATTTTTTTTGGCGCAAGCTAAATTGACTTTCAATAATTAAAAGAAGTGATAAGCACACTGATTTCCTATCCACATCTCATGAGCATGTACCCAATGCAAGTTGTCTTGCTGTGATTGGCAGTACTGTATGTCTGTCTGGACACAGATGCCCCTCATTTCCCTTGAACATAATAGGAGTTGTGTTGCATGCCTGTATGACCTAATATCGGGGGCATACTGTGTCAAGCGCTGGTGATTTGTGCACTTTGAACAGTCATTCCTGCACACTTCCAGTATATTGAGTCTTTTGCAATGTCCATCGATATAACTGAAATGCAAAATGCACTAGCCATTTCGGTTTGCCAATTTCCTGGCTCTGGTTGGGCAACAGCCAGATAATGCTCTTGATGTGTAAGCTGTCATTATGGAGTCAAGTCTGGCACATGACGTAGTGAATGCCCCAGTCTCTCCACACAGCCATTTCTAGACCTTTGCCAGATGGGAGTGTACAAATTAAGGCATGTGACACCAGTCCTTAATTTCAGGTGCTGACATCTACAGTAAGTCAGTAATATTGACTCATTATAACCACAGAATGAGCTATTGATTCAACAAACCATGCCTTGAGCTGTCAGCTGTTAGGTATTAAGGCTGTTTGAGCATGTGATGCACCCTTTTGCAAATGTTTCCTAACCTAAATATTTCAGACTTTTTATGAATTGTGCATATATTCAGGCATAAAATGTTTATGTGCTTGATATTCACAAAAGCTGTCAAATGTATATTTTTTTTAGATCATATGGTGGTAATTTACTGGATAATTAGCTACATGTGATAAGTCAGTTATCTGTTTCTGTTGGGTTTTTTTTTTAAAGATTGAATCCAGATTTCTTTAAATTTCTTGTTGGACTGAGTTTAATTATAACTTTAATTATATGTTCATGTATATGCAATGAAAGAAAGAACAATCAAATTGGATTAATTAAAATCACTCTGTTAAGTTCTGATCATTTTATCTTAGTTGAAATTCTAATCTAGAATGCACCAAATGCACCAAATTCAAATGAAGGAATGCAGTTATGTTTCAAGCAGAAAAAAAACACAACTTTTATATCTATTAGAAAAACATGAGTAGACTTTGAACTACTCTTTACACACTCATCTTTCCCAGACTTTATTGTAACTTGCTTTTGATTGTCTCTTGCCAAAATAAATATCAGTAATACTTGGGGTTGAAAATTTCCTAATTACACACTGTTAACAGATTATGCATTAATAAGATGTGTGCAAATGAGAGCAAGCTGACATGTTAGAAACAGATTATTTGAGAGGTCAGTTAGCACAAGGGTATGGACTTAATATGTTTCATTAATGCTTTTGAGATTACAAAATATAAATTGAATTAGACATTAATCGAAACTGTTATCAAAAATGTATTGTAATATATCTATAAACGTAATATACTGTATACAGTGCTTGCAGAAGCATTCAGATCCATGCTTAAAGTGACACATTTCATGAAATTAAAGCAAAAAATGAATTTTATACGCTTAAAAACTTGAAAGCTTAAACTGATTTTTAACATACATTTAAGTAACAAAAAATATCGTCAAAATCTAAGCATCAAAAAGCCATTATGTTGAAACACACCACGCATCTTTGGAAGCAATTAACTTCCTGGTGTGTGACTTGCTCAAACTCTCAAGTTTCTTGGCACTAACTTAACAGACAGCGGTTTTCAAGTCGTTTCATATATTTGTCATAGGATTCAAGTGTGGACTTGACTGGGCCACTCAATTATATTAACCTACTTGTTTTTAAGCCACTCTATTCTACTTTAATCTACTAAGCCACTTGACCTGTACTTTAGATCATTGTCTTGCTGAAAGGTTTATCTATGCTTCAGTTTTGACCTTTTCCATCCCTGTTGATGAGAAGGACCACCATTCTTGACAGTAGAGGTGGTGTTGACTAAGTGATGAACTATGTTAGGTTTGCACTAGATTGAACACTTTGTAATGGAACAAAAAACTAATAATAATTTGTTTTTTGCTCACCACAAACCCTTTCATCACATTAGCAGTAAGGTGCTTTGGTGCAAACTGTGTATAGCATTTTAGGTGTGTTATTCCATTTCTGCTGATCTCTATAATTCTTTCAAAGTCCCCCTTGGACTCACAGTGGCATCCTTAACCAGTTTTCCCCTTGCCTGCATGCTCAGATTGAAGGGACCATCTGATTAAGCAATATTTTTTCATTGTCTTAATGATCACCTTCACAAAGCTCAGAGATATTAAGAGCCTTTAAAATGTTTTATATCCTTCTCCTTATCTGTGCCTTTATACACCTTTATCTCTGAGTTGTTTTGAAAGCTCCTTGGTCTTCATGGTTGATTCTTGACTAAGGGAATTTACAAAGATACTGCAGGATATCATGAGAATCTCTATTATAGCACACAAAGAGAGGCCACATGGCTTTTTCATTATCTACATATATGTATTTACTTCTTTTTGTTTTGTCTTTAAAAATCTGTGGAGTAGGATGGATACATACTGTAATGAATATTAGTTGCTTCTTCAAAGTGGCATGGCTACAAGTTTTAAAACACCTAAATACTTTTGCAAGGCATTGAAAATTTAATTCCTAGATCTTCAAAGTCTTCATATAAATATGTGAAGGCAACTACTAAACTATGCTGCATTAGACATTTCTCAGATAATTACTGTTTTTAATCTTTAGTTTTAAGAAAGTAATGTAAACTTCATCCTTTTGAGCCATTTCTTGTTTGAAATACATCCACAAGATTCTGCAGTGCAGCAAATAAGAGCTAGTTGGTTTCAGTTTTGTATTTGATCTTTATAGGGTTAAAGTGAAATAAATAATTCTAAGAACTGTAGGTAAATATTAAATGGTTCAGCCAATATAAAACATTCTCCAGAGTAAAGAATAAGGTAAATAGCCAAGTTATTGTACCTTTTAAATCCAACTGCACTGGGAATATTCATTTGATTGTACAAAATTTGTAAAACCCCAGATGGTGTGATTTGGATAGTGTGGAGTTGGCTGTGTGATTCCTGACAACTGTAAATTGAGGCTGAAATCTGTCACTGTCATTGCTGTATCTATCCTGCAATAATTTCCTAGTGCTCAGTTGTTTCACTTACTGACTCTTAATATGAAATGCAATATCCACTGCACAGCAGATATATCAGAGAATTTTATATGCATATCTTCAAACTATAAAGACATTGGTTCATGGTGGGGTGGAATGTATTGTAGGGTTAGTAGTATTAGTGAAGTCTGAAATGGCTTTGTTTACTGGTGATTGTTTTTATTAAACTATATAATAAGAGATATTTCTAAAATATTGTGTATCACATATAACATCAACATCTTACTTGTAATCTATACATTGAATGGAATAAGATACTAAAAATCTGTACAAGAAAAACACATTGTACCAATTAACATTTGAACTGCTTTATTGATATGCAAGTGCAGTAAAAGTGCTTTAAAAAACAATCTGCAGCATGAGGCTTTTTTGTATGTGCTTGGTTTCCCTACTTAATCAATAGTAATACCAAATCCAATTTATTTCTAATTTTAAGTAATCTACACTAAATAATGAGAACTAAAGTATGGGCTTCTGAGGAATTATTTAGTGTCACTGCAATAGAGAATGGAATAAGAAGTTATAAAAGGCAATGATACACAGAGACAAGGTGAATTTGAGTCTCACACTGGGGAAAACTGTAGTGCCTAATAAGTGAATTGCGAATTAGGACACATGCTGTTGTACAATAGCTGAACGTGATACCTGTTCTATAGAAAATGTTAGTTGTTTTGCAGGACTGATATTGGATCTGCTTAAGTTCTTGAAGGACATACTGTGGTAAAGTAATGCTATTTCAAGG